CCATTTTTTATGTCAAATAAAGCTGAGCTTGGGTTTAATTGATAGCCGATTGGCGCAAAGCCAACGGTTCGCTGGAGCCCGATCCGTTAAAACGTGTAGAGCCCCGGGGCTGGGTGTAAATCGTAAGCTATAAATTACACGAGTTATCGTTTACGAATCACCGGACTGACGAAGAGCTGATTTCACTACTGACCTTTGAAAACGTATCGGCACAATTGAATTTTTATGCCTATCTCCATCAACTTTGAGGGAATATAAGGTTTGGGCATGCACCGTCTGTTTATCATATTGGTACAGAGTACAGATTTTGAAATCCTCTGCAATGGAAGGGTCTTTTAGGATTAGAAAAGTGTTGTTTTGCTTACCGCTAGCGGATATCGTGGTGTATAGGGCATACTGGCTAGGTGATGATGATGATGATGACCAGTGATGATGATGATCTATTAACCCAGCCACGTTTTTATGGTGAGAAGTTGTTTGAAGGGATACTGATGGACAAACGAAAGCGTGGATGAATGTGGTTCTCCATGACCCAGGTGCAAGAAGGAGATTCAGTTTGAGGGATTCCAACCGAAGCTTTTGATTCAACAGTTAAACCTGCAAGACAGCGGAAATTGGGGCTATCTTTCATGCCGTCTTCCGGATCAAAGATCCGAATTCTGACCAGCTTGGATGCAGTGGGCTGGCCTAACCCGAGGGTGCAATGATTACGGTATTAATGTTTGAATTCTAATGCAGCTGCGCACAATAAGTCTCCTTTTTACATCCCTAAATTCTTTCGTTTTGGAGTATTCCAACCGTCCTGAATAATGCTCCGGTGGTCACAGTCAACCGCTGTGCGACTGGAGTGTGCGGCTTTTAGGGCCGATCTTTCCCTCCCCGTCTTTGCTCAAGGCAAAGCAGCTTCACTGTTTTCATCAATATGGGACGTGTTGGTCACATCGTTGCACACCTTGCTGCCCTTACACTCCTATCGCAGAAGTCAGTATGAATTAATCTCCAGGCTGCCTCATAATACGACCATTCGTGGCAGGGGTCATGCTGCTGTTGGTCTGACTGCTTCTCCCTGGCCTTCCTGGAATGGCTACACCTCGTGGAATGAAGTTCCAACCAGTGTGGCCCTAGAGATCGTTGTAGCAAAAAAATTCTGGGCAACCCGTGAAGGAGACAGCTTTAGGTGAAAATTATATTCTGTACTTTAAGGAACCTTTACGCGGTCACCTACCAACGCTGGCAAACTATTGACTATACGGCCGATATGAGTTAGTAACAATTTAAAACTTTAGATGTCCAATGTCTCGTAAGCATTCTATGTCGACAAACTTCTGATTGGAAGCCCAGGGGTTGCCTGTTCAGTAATCGGTAGCTGATAGACAACTAACTCAGTATAACACCGTCTTCAAGGACTGGTACTACCTACCTTACTCTCCCGTTGTTCGCAGGCCCAAACTCCAGCAACTACAACCAAATTAGACTTGTTACATGGTTTATAGCTTACGAATCAAATTGATGTTAGCCACGATGCTTCACAACTGTCAGCAAACTGCGCTTATACGAAGATCGTTTGTTCTCAGTCCGAAGGAGGCCAATTTCAAAGAACCCAGGAAATTAACTTCCAGGAGGCTGATGCGACAATGTGAAACTGAACCAAGTGTCGCTGGATTTGAACCGTATATGAGACGTGCCTCTGTAGTGTGTTCCTCTTTTAAAAATTCTAAATGTGGTTTATCTTTTTATAGATGGGGTAGGTCATTCGATCCACTTTTGATCGCTTGTCAGTTATTACCTCTTCCGCATCGACTCAATAACAAACTAGCATCAGACGTCTGTATTCACACTGTTTTTAGGACAACAAGATATACCCCGCAATTATTTCTCACAGAAAAACTATAGCTACCAATTTAATTCCAGTCAAAGTGACTTAGATAATGCCTACTAACTGATTGACATTTCATTCGTAGGTTCTAATAGCCTTACCGTGCAGTGGCGTAGAAGCGAAGTTTTTGTTGAAGAACCAGGGTTTTTTGCAGTTATTTTTGTCAAGGTAGGAAAGCAACGCCGAGGAAATTCTTACCCCAACAGTTTGAATTCCTTGTTTAGCCAACCAACCAGAAAGTGCTCTGTATGACGTTTGGTGTGGCCGTTCCAATTGTCAACTGCGACCGCAGTTGATGGAATTAGGGATGTAGATTGCCTGACCACATGAAGTTCTACTGTTATTGCAAAAAGTGAATTTGACCATACAGTTAAATCCACATCTCCTGTAGGTTGAGCGTCAGTTATGAAACCCTATTGTCAATGTTTGAATGTTGGTACAGTTCGTGAATTGACAGTGAACTAATTAGGAACAAAATTCAAGGGAATTATTCACCCATTTATGTGTACATCTTAGAATGACGGCGCCCGGATCTGCGAGTGAGGGTGATTTTTATGCATCTGGCTAGTATTTTAGAAACCCTGTATTCTGTACAATCAGGGCGCGGAAGAAAAGTAATTTGTTTGCTCACATTTCTCGTTGAAACCGAAGTTGATTTGATTAGAGAATATTTCCGCAATTGTTTCGAGCGATATTTTGCTTTTGATATTAAGTATTTTCTGAACTACTCTAAAGAAGGAACTTCATGATCCGTTGGAGCCTTTCTGAGTGGATGGGATATTCCTTGTGAGTATCGAATGAGGAACACTCACCAGCCATTCAGAAACCTTAGCTTTTATTCATCGGTCTTTTGCCAACTTAAACTATTTCACTCTAGTGATGTAATAAGGGCTGCTGTCCGCATACGAATTCGTTGGAAACGTTTCGCATGCGGATTGACCTGGTTTGCTGCCGTGCTAGTGACGTCTGGCATGGGTTGGCTCACTTCACTTGTACTGGTAAATGTTCAAGTCTGCAGCCAAATAATTCGAGATTTATTTGTGAATACATGCAAACACATTGTACGACAAGGCTCACACTAAGACCAATTCAAAGTTTTACCAACCTAGTACAATAAACTGCTGTCAATTCCGACTACAAAATGCTCTAAAACCCAACCGAAAGTGGGATGCCAGAAATGTCAGTTGTTGAAAGCCATTCGAGGTGAAATGATTGGTTCTCTCAAAATGCTTGTGGTCTACACCAGGTTTGAACTACTCAGGGTTGTTCCGGTTGGAAGAAGCCATTGCATGCAACGCAATAACAAAAGTTTTGTTTCCAAATTTGTGACCTCCACCTGTCGGCTAAGCTTTTTCAGCACTGCTGGTCCCTGCTCTAGGCCTTCCTCTGGCTGTGACTGTGATATTCATGCCATCTGCTTGAAGCAAACCGAGTTTATTGCGAATCCTCCGGGATAAATTTTGTTTTTTACAATGGGTTCACTAACAAGGCCGATTCACACCTCTTCGATTAAGATTACCGCAATTAAACCTGTGTACACGACCACATCTGTGGATCGAAGGGTAATACTTATTCGGCAAAAAAAAAACAGTTTAAATAGAAGCAACATCTATGGTGAACTCACGCTTCTAACATTGGTTTTGCCATAGTTTGCCTGGAGAATCTTGTTTTCTACTACAGATTTTATAAGCAGGTGGGCATAAAATGATTAAATAAGCATATATTTCTCACGGCGTTCGCTCGCATACTTGTTCAGGCCAAATCCGAATCCAGTTCTATCAACAGAAAATGTTTTCAGCCATGTGACTACTTCTGTCACAACCATCGTTTGCTTGGGAACTATCCGAGCTAGTCTGATGAAAAGACACCTATAATGGCTCAATTGCCTCATGTGGGTTGCCGAAACCACTGGCACTCTACGGGTGCACGTTCTAAACACATGATTGATGGCTACAGCCGATCGATAGCAGATTTGCCTGCATTTTGTCCCATTTGTACTGCCCCATTTGTACCATATACCAGGGTGGAATCACTTATTCGGAATAAAACGTCAGGGAGTAGTTTAAATTCCAGTCATGTGGTTCCAGCTGTCATGAATGGCTGTTCTAGTGAGAAAGCTTCAGCTGTCGACCAAAGGAAAATTTCCAGATGAAATTCCAGTCCGGTTCTTTCACTTGCATTCGGTGTTGGGTTAGTATACTGGCTAGACTGATTCCACGTAATTCGATGTATTTTGGTCGTTGGTTTGTTCGCTAAGCTGGGCAGTTTGATTGCATCATCAGCGACCATCTACCCTACCTGAGCTACCAACATTTTCCTTCAGTGTTTTTATTTTGCGGAGGTCATCTTTTGTCCAACTGATCGGTTGAACGTGGTTGCCACAGTTTATCCAGATGTGAGTGGTCACCACCAGACAAGACAGTTTGTAGACTACATAATTTGAATTTTGGTCAAGCGTCCGGTCTTTTTGGGAAGGACATCGGCTGATAAATATGGACAAGAAAAAATTCTTCCTTGGGGATAACAGAAGGATACTGTATTAAGTCAAGTATTTCTCTTCCGGATTTCTACTCTATGCCCCACCGTAAACAGCCTGGAATTGCAACATTAGCAGAGTAAGATCATTGGGTGATCCAATAAGCCATTTAACGACAGGCTCCGCCCTCATTTTGGACAAAATCTTTCTGATAGCCAAGAACTGCCCATTAAATATTAGTATGGGTATGCAACTAGACGGTATGGAAAGAGGAAAATAAGTCTACGATGCATGTTGGAGCAAACGAGCGATCAACATCAGTGGGAATGACGAGCCGTTTGATTGGTGTGAACCTATTTGCAATACAAGGGGCCATTTTTGATAGTCACCGGTACGATACAAACTAATGTTGACCGGTTTGACGGGAAAGAAATTTCAATCTAAATTTTACAGTATATTATCCCGCAAATCTGAGCTCCGAAGTAAGTATTCTATCATGCAAGTTTTGCGTTACTAAGTTACAGTACGTCGTCAAAATTTGCGATGATTTCGGTGAGCCGGGTCAAGAGCACCGTTTTTGGTGTGATTACATAGTTAGCTTCGGTGTGTTTCGACTGTTTATTCTTCCTTGCTTTTGATTCTTCTTAGAATACAGTAGACCGTCTTGTGAAGCAAGGGAAATGGGCTTTGGTTGTCGGGACATCATCATGGAAGGAACAGTTTGTGGAGGCAGTTACGGTGAGCGCAGGTAAGTAGCCCATACCAGCGGAACAACAGTTCTACTCTGTACTTGGCCATTACTCTCTACTTGCTAATCGTTTGCGACTTCTCCAGGACCGGGTTAACTTTTTAGATAAAATTTCAATGGTTACTCTCGTACAGCCATAGGGAGCAACCTGTACTGTGAACTCCAGATGTATATGCTTGGCATCTACCTTCAGAAGGACTTGCGGCTCTAAAGCAGGATATGAAATACTGAGTTCTCAAAGACGTTTCACTCTTCAGACTTCAAATCTCTTAAGTTGCTAATTAGCCTTTTGGTAGTATAGAAACTGTCATGCACAGTCCATGGAGAGTATACTAACAGGGTCGCTATTGTTGCGGTCTGTTAGGCTTTATGACGTCGAGAATCACGGCTTTGCTGTACAGTTTCGTGTGGCTAACAAACGCACCCTATACTACTTGAAGCAAGTGTATCACCTTTGTCCAGTCTATTGCTGACCCCTCCGAAGCATGCAGGCTCAAAGTGAGCATAATATTGGGATTGCTAATTGAATTTTGAAATGTAACCAAGTTTATCTCATCTGTTTCGTTGGTGTCAACCTTCTGAATAAACGTTGGTTGGTGTAATAATTATATTCTAATGCTAATAGCAGCACGAACAGTTCCATTCCCAAAAAGGAGAAAAACTGGAAATTTAAGGAAAACTTTTTGTTAAGACGACTGAAAACAAATGACCTGTCAGAAAAAGCGGTTAGGCAAAATCCAGACCCAGGTATCAAATTTATGTTGATCAAACTTGTGTCCGTCGAATAACCAGTGGAAGAACTTTGTTTGTACCAACTGGGCCCGTGAAGCTAAGTCTGTACCGCTCCCCGATAGTCTTCATTTTGTTTGAGATATGATTTCGTGATGCTACAAGTGGAAGGTAGGATACTTCGTAGCTCCTTGAAAGGTCAGTTTTGTAGCGTTACGGATTTGTTCCACGCGGCACAGATTTGTTGTAATCACTTTTACATGGCGCAGTAAACACAATCAACTTCTGAGAATTATAAGAAAATGAACCAACACGTTTCTCATTCCAGTCTACCTCTTTTGTGATAACTGGGATGAGCCCCAATAATATCAACATTTTGACCAAACTCAATGGTATTCCTTACTTTGTAAACAAAAGGGGCGAGCATACTACAGACTAGGAAAACAAGTGGTCCAAATGACTGCATGTTCCTGATTGCTTCACGAACTAAAATCCACTTTGGAAGCACGGTCAGCGCTTGGTGACGATCGTTTTGGTCAGCACTGTTTTGGCCAGTTTGTGCTGCTTTATGATCCAGAGTATAACTGACAAATTTGACTGAGTGTACGATTGCTCATTCACCACAATATGAAACTGTGGGATGCTGGATAAACAGTACGTTGTCTTTCATTCCCAAACTATCTCCCCCATAGGTGGTGATGGAGAAGGTGCGGATTTGGAAGAGGAAAAACTGCCCTCCTGCATGGACTACGTTATGCACTTCCTGACCGTTTTCTGGAAGGTTCTGTTCGCCTTCGTTCCACCTACCGGTGAGCATAGATAGTCTCCGCCACGACATTTTTATGTTTTTGGACAATTTGCCTGTATCAAGGACAAAATGGGTTCTAGTATTAGCATAGTTATTCCCTAGCCGTCGGAATCACTTAAAAGCATTGTTTTGCTTGGAGTTCATCCATAGGAGGGTGCATCTACAAACTGAGACTGGTCGGTTGTTGCGACTGTTGGTAATATCAACGGTCTAATTCCAGAACTTAAATTTTCAAGCGTCTTGCACCCGCTGTTAAAGCTGATGCAAGCTGAAGCAAGTGCACTGGCAAACTGGAGGACCTCCACCATCTTGGCGTTTTGAATGAGCGTGAACCAACATCAACGACTCACCCCGTCTTTCGCATTTCAGTTAGGAAGAATGTCCTGAGTGAGATTACGTTTTATCGCACTTGAACTGAAATCTTCCAGTCACGGTTTTGAAAGTTCCGAATAATCGGTCAAGCTTTTATCTTAGCCTCGTGCAGATACTATCTCCGACTAAATAAGAAAATACTTAGAGAACGATTTTCTGAACGTACCGATGAATGGTCTCCAGCTGGGAAGCACGTTAAAATCGACTGATCGCGCGGAAACTAATTCATCCCATGCTCATTTACTAGGTCTCCCTCTAGATGCAAACAGTTCTACACCGCAACGAATGCCATGAACCAGTAATTGAGTGTCCCCACTTTTATCCTTATTTGTACAGAGACGGTCTGTTTGTAGCAGAGGGATTTTGGCAATTTTGTTCTCTATCGTTATCATGTCTGTTCGTCGGCCGTCTAGTTGTCTATCATGCTAGTGTCTTACTATGCTTTTGTGTGACACTCATGAGTGCGCAAGCCAGTGCTTAATACACATAAACTGTCAAAGGCGCAAAGTAGATTGTTCTCGAAGGACACTTCTGAAAAATACCGACCATGTTCTCGGAGTGGACAGTACGGTCACACCTGATTTATATTTTTTATAGAAGCTCACCAACAGGTTAAATATTTTCCAAACCCCCAACGAAACCTCTTAAAGCACGCGTAATCTGAGGGTTGTCACTCGAAGAGCAAAAGGTCTTTTTTCTGCATTAGACGAACTAGATTACCTGATCACTCTACCAACACAAATAAACGTACAGAATGCACACCTGTTACTAAGTGCCAGATGAACTCAGGAGAGTGACGACGAAACGTGCATGACGTGCAGCCTAGTTCGTCTGCATGCGCGCTCAATTGTGGTAATCGGTTTATCGATCAACCACCCTGCGTTCTAATGCGTTTCGGCATATCGATCTGTGCTCCACTAATCTAGTTGAGATGTATCCCACACATTTATCGAACCAGCGATTAGGCGAAATTGCGAAAGTGAGAATGGTTTTTGTTAAAATACACAAAGGAAAAACTCAGACTGAACAGAAACAAATGAATAGTTCTAGTTGAAAATTTGAACAACGTGTCTACACAGAAACTAGAAAGAATAGCCAATATTGATTCCCTAAGCGAATGAAACATCGCCACATCTAGAAAGCCAAAGTGTGTATCGACTATTTTCGAGCACAGTAACTTGAGACGTGAAATCGAAATCTTGATGTATATATGAGAGATCTACCTGGTCTTGAGAAAAGTAATGTTCATCGCAATATGTCCAATAGGCTAATCCATACAGATCGGGTTACTTGGTTTACGAATAGGATTGGTTGTTTTAGGTGTTGTTCACTTATTTGTTTATGATAATTTATGATAATTGCAAGGACAGTTTGCTTCCGTGATATTAACCTCAAAACTGGACCCTTTAAATTTGGCATAAATTGCGCTAATCGCGTATAAACGTATTTACGGGTACATATCAGTATCGACTGTATCAACTTGTGGCACAGATTTCTCCGTCGTAAGCTGATCATAAATCCGATAAAAAGAAACAGATAATACACGGATCACACCTGATTGCGTTGCACCCGGAAAACTTCCGCCTCATGGACCAGGAGGAAACTCATTTGCAGAAAGAGTAGGGTGTTTTGAATCCGTACGAAGCTCTAACGCAGTTTATTGAGTCCCAGGCTAACAGGAATCCAGTGGGTTTAACTACAAACAAATGCAAGCAGCTAAGTTAAACATTGTTCGACTAAAACAAGAACGGAGATAAGGTCGGTTTGATGTTAACGATCCATCAAAATCCACCCTCATTTGAGAAAAGAACTTGACACGCATCACAATCCTCCATGGTCTGATAAAGAGGGAGAGTGGAGACAGCTCTGTGGCTCCAGGATTATACTCCTGAAATTGTGCGGAAACCAAAAATGGAATGGTGGAGAAAGCGAATTGAGAAGATCTACTCGTACGAAGATCGCCACGGTCATTAGGCATTTTTTACTGGACTGATATAAATCTGTAAACCGAAGGTCAAATATGTTCAGTTTCTAAAAAAAACAAGCCACCGGAACACTTCAGGAGTCTGACGAAGGTCTAGCAGCCTGAGCAGGTCAGGAGATGCTGATTTAAAATACATACACCACCTGTTCCGGTATAAAGTGAAGACCTGGTAGACTGAGTTGCATAGAGCCGCAGAATCGTAGAGAGTCAACGAGAGAGTCGTAGAGAGAGACAATGAGAGAGCATCGAAACTGAATGGCTTGCCAGCAGAACCAATCAAGTTAAAAGAGAGAAAGCCCCAGTTTATTTTGCTTAAATGAGAGCTGGAACTTGTTTCACAAGATTTCAAGGATGCAACGAAGATCCCTGTGTTTAGCATAAAAATAGCCGACAGGACATAAAAATACCAAAGATAAGATTATGTTTTCTCTCTCACTTTGTGAACCATTTTTCAGCATTCTGGATGAAAAAGTTCCAGAATTCAAGACAAACTCGAGGGTAATATCAAGACCGAAACCACAGGCTGTCTTGCACTTCACCACAGCTTTCCACTAGGTCGTCAGAAAAACACTATGAATTGACTCAATAATGTTTAGTTGTCCAGACGGAATTGTTAATCTCATCAAAGCCATTGACGCTGGCATGAGAGTGTGGATATGGACCTTCGCAACTACTTCCATGAAGCACCTAATAAATACCGCAGTAAAACAAGGTTTCCTTCTTGCGACAGCCCTTTTTCAGCCTTTATTTAACAGCCATAGGCCTGCCATTGCAAATAGATTATGCTAAGTTTCCATCGGTTTGACGGTTAACTGCTTACTTCGAAAAGTTTCTTATTCATAGCCCTGCTGTGCGAGGCCTTTTCCTATGGTGTTGTTTGTAGACAACTTTGCCTTATTCTCGCATTTCGAAGCAGAGTTACACCGGTAACCACGGTGTTCGGTTCAGTGGCCTCTTGTTTGGGCTGAAACATAACTAAAGCTCGAACGTCAGTTCTCTGTCAGACTGTAAGAGGATTTAACATGAATCACGGTGTGTTCTTCTAAATGGTTTGTTGTACTGCCACTTTGAAGGCACATTATCCATAGACCTGACACTTAACAATGATAGTATCTCAAGGATTGTAAAAGCCGTCATGTCGGATTTGAAAACGCGCCTGGAGTAATCAGCAGTTGCGTGTGGACCCAGGTTGCGGCGTGTCAGACTGTTCTTCCATCTTCACTACCATACCTCAGGCAGACGTGGACACAATAAAGACTGCGCATTCCGGGTCTTGACCTGATGTTAGATGACCAACAACGTTGTCATCGAATTGGGCATTCTACAATGGCTTGTTTCCGGTCAACTTCATAACAAGGTACAGTTTCTCGGCAAAGCCATCAATTAACTGGCTGCCAGTTACTGTCTCATCGAAGGATTATCACTCAGCATCTAAGCGCGATTGAGGAGATTTTTCGCACAATTATTTTGGTTAATGGGATAACCTAATGAGATTATACCGCTTTTTGCTCAATGAGAAGACATAGAAATTTAAATGGTGTATTTAATGCCAAAACAATTCTGGGTACTTTCTGTCTGCTGATGGCTCTGCGTAAACTCCCGTGGTTAAACCAGTCTGTTGTTTGCTTTGTTGTGTGTAAACATTTTTTAAAAAAATTTGTATTCCACGAATTCCCACGGAAAACCAGTCTACAATGAAGTCTTTGTAATGGAAACTGAAGCTGATTCGATTCACACAAACACCTCACAAACTCGTTGAGCAACGGGATTCCATTTTTCTCACCTGGGTGTAACAACCGTGACATATAGATGTTTTAATTCATGAGGTTCATCTTTGCAGTGATTATCTTCTGAACCTGGAAAGATTTTTTGCTTCAAAGGCTTTCTGTTCCTATTAAAGGCTTGATTAAACTTTAGAAGGCACATTTTGTATTGAGATATGTGGTTTACACAAGTGCTGGATGTAAATTACTTGAATCTGAGTGATTGATAGTTGCCAAACATTAGCTCAAATACTGTTCTCGGTCATCAACCGATCAGCGATGATTGACCGACCGTTGTATTTTAACCAAGGAGGGAACTCATACCTACCCCTTGTTATTTGGCGCACCTTAAGAAAGCGACTCTTTGAGAAGTCATAAACATCGTGATTACCTTGTTGAAATTTCTTTTATAAAATCTTTTGAGCCCATAAAAGTAATTTCGTCAGCTCCATGCTACTGTGGAAGGCTTCGAATGATGTATATTGGCCCAGCAATTGTGAACATGACTGCATTTTGAAAACTGCGATTCCACAAGTAAGTAAACAGTATTTCACAGAGACATACGAGCAGTGAGCCTCGGATCCTTCGTGGACTCAATCAATTTACTTCATCGTGCCACGTCTTGTTTCATGCGTGATGTCATTGTTGCCTGTTGAGTTCGAGATAGTTCACTTGAAATGACCTGCGTTTATTGACCTAAAGGTTCGTGGCTGGAATCCAACCTTAGAATCTTGACTGCTTCTCACTATTCTTGTGCAGCCTTGCAGTACGTCAGCCCTGATGCTTCCTTCGGTTGCCATGACAGTCGGCCACCGTGTGTCACTGCTGAACACTTATGTTTTTACTATCATCGTTTGTTGTTGTAGATAAACAAAGTCGGATACTTTGGGCTCTTTCATCATTTATCATTAGAGACAGCAACATCAATGTTGAGACTGATGCTTCACTGCGGTATAACCACAAAATATGCTTAATGATATTTAAACCCTTAAGAGAAAAAGAAAAGAGTTGGTGTAGGAGGGGACTTAGCGATGGCCTATCGCGAGCATTATGAGGTGCCTGCGCCTCCGAGCGCTCAGTCACAAAATTTGCAGAGTATCTGACAACATGAACGCCAGTGAGATCGATCAGCCGCCATCCATTACCATGTCCCTAGCAAAGCTCATCGGGGGTGTCGAGGAGCCTATCATGGAAGACGTACTGCACCACCAACACCCAAACTCTTTATATCCCCTTTCACACTTTTATGCATTCTGAAGGAGGCAGGATGATTGATGCAGATCTCAGTATCCTCTCGGTATCCCTAGCGCATGACCGAGCCACCACAGTCAGTGCTGGATATTGTTCGCGATTGAATTATTTACTGCACAACCATATACTCATTTTCTTATTGCTTTGTTACAAATACGTTTGAGCCATCCCAAACCAGCAGCACTTCTGAGGCATCGGTGGTCAAAAACCTGAACGCGCATCATATCACCTCTCCTCACAGGCCATGACACAGATATCGCTGCAGTCTGTACGCGCGACCGTTAATGCTCAGTGATATGCCCTTTTGACATAGCGATTGAAGCTAATTAGCAACCGTTGTTTTGGCCTTTGAGAATCTTGAACTGAATTCACTAGGCACACTTCTGCCAATGCTAATACAACTACAGATGCATGTAAAATTCTCCACAACACCCAGTGCTTCTCCTCTATTTGTGAGGGGTACGTTCGGAAACTAGATGTTTTAAAGCACGATTTGACACTACGAAGGTGGACCAAAAGATAATATGACGATGGACACTGTTCGACGGTGCGCGTAATTCACCTTTGTCTGCGCACTCCAGATCGATGGGTTTCTCACCGGCAATCATCTAAAATACCGGGATTTTAAAGACAGTACAGCGTTCACCTCTTTACTTCATTAATGGTGACTTCGAACTTCACCATAGGGGGTGGAAATCCTTGTCTGACACTACTTTTCGTAGGGAAACTTTTGAAGAAATCACCACACACTCTCACATAGCCATAGTCAGATTACGCTTGAGAAATTCGGAAGCATACTCCATTGGCTCAGAGCAGTGAATTATCCACAGAGGTCGAGGAACTCCAAGACTGTGGGTCGTCTGTACTTGTAGCGTTGCTTTAACACGTGACGGAGTGTGGACATGTCGCCGCAACCTCCACTTGGTCGAAATCTCGATTTACGCTTGCGGGTCGAGAAAATGAACAATCATTGACGCTGCAAGTCTGGCTACAACGAGAGTCAGACTGATATCTCTGTGGTTACTACATGCCTCGCAAGTAGCCTTTTTTTAAATGTTCACGATTTTCAACTCCACCAAACTGTGTGAGATGTCCAATTTCTACAAGTTGGGCGCAAAAAAGTTAGAAGGGCACCGGTTGAAGAATTCACTGCCATTCTTCAATAGAGCGAGGGAAAGGTCGTCAGTGCCAGGAGCACAATTACGCTGGGAACTCCTGTGGGTAAACAGGGTTCCTTGTTCACAGTTCGCCTTTCCGTTGAAGGCTGGCCACACAGATTGGGGGTGAAAAAGTGGCCCACTGAATTATTGTTCTTAGAACTATGCCCAACGATCCAAGCTTTTTCTTCTTCTAATTATCATGTAGCTGTTTTCGCTGACACGAGGCTTCCAAAGACTAGCTGAACGAATCAAACAGAACGGTCTGCAGACGTTCCCAGCATTTTGGACATCTTCCATTCCCTCGGCCTTTCTACTCCACTAAGCTCCTCGGTCTGAACGGACACCATGCTGTACCTGGAATCGAATGATGTGTTGGGTTGAGTTGTTGTTGCGGCCACGAGGATTCTAGCGTCGGGCCTCCAGCGAGGTCACGGTCCTAGTAAGGATACGACGTTTGGACAGATGTGGTTGAAACAGTCTGCAGACGTTCCCAGCATTTTTGGTATCTTCCATTTCCTCGGCCTTTCTACTCCACCAAGCTCCTCGGTCTGCATGGACACCATGTTGTACTTGGAATCGAATGATGTGTTGGGTTGAGTTGTGGTTGCGGCCAAGAGGATTCTAGCCCCGGGCCTCCAGCGAGGTCATGGTCCTATTAAGGATACGACGTTTAGACAGAGGTGATTGGCTTGTACCGTAAACGGAAATTTCGGCACTGGATAGCACTGTGGATATAGATTCCTAGGGGTCATTTATATCCAACATCGGGCTGTCTCATAGGCGTTTGCGGAGCCGTCCTGATAGTTTCGTTTGATTTCTGGGTCCGCTAGCTTCTCAGTGGCTAAGTGACGTGTGTGTGTTTTGCGCATATCTTTAAAAGTAAAAAGAAAAGCAACATTATTATTGTTGGTTGTGAGCGTCATGGTTGAACGTGGGTTGAGATCCTGCCCGGGACCTTCAGATCTAGACTGGAGGATATTTGATATCCTCGACCCGATCTTTCGACTCATAAGCCTTACCAAAATGCTGCGGTGTTTGGCGGGAAATAAAAGGCGCATCACTATTTTTATAGAACAGCTTGTCACAAATTATCCAACCCCCAACATGGAGGGTCAAGAGTCCGTTTTAGCCGGAACTCTCACTACTGACCAACTTGGTATGCAAAACTCTGTTGGTTTCGCACAGACACCGCCCAGTAAGTCGCGGAGGCACAGAAACCGTCACACCACGGTAGGCCTAGTCTCTCTGTGACCTGTTTGGGCTTTATCACTCCCTCTCTAAAAAACTGGGCTAAAGTTAATATTGCAGAAGTCTGTCCGGAATGAGACTGGCTCGTTAATGGAAAGTGTCGCTCACTGGTTGAAACATTTTCACCGTTTACTGAAAACTAAGATGCAGCAGTATCATTGAACAACTGGAAAGTAACCCTTTGAATAGTCTTCAAGGTGCATGTGATGGGGAACGAGTTGGTCCGTGATAATACAGACCAAACACGACTGCTTACGAAACTTATAGACCAGCGGAGGTCAATGACCGTGGTGATAACGTGTGTGTATTTTGAACTCGAACATCAACTGATAAAGGTCAACTGGAGGTCAAACATTTTAGGAGCTACGCAGTTTCGCCCAGGCATTAGCTCCGTAGGGTCATAAATTCATTCCGGTGGAAGCGCCTATCTGTTTACCGGATATATTATCAAACGTCTGTAAGATTGAGTTCAGCAATGTTGTCGAATGTAGGTAGCTCGGGTGCAGTGCTTGAGTGGGTCTCAACCCTGCACTGACGATGTCACCTCGGTTGGTGATGAAACGTTTGCACTCCAGCTGCCAAGCTCGGCAAACAGATCAACAACCAAGAGTGAGTTAGCCTCATAGGGTTTGTGTACTGAATTTCGCCCCATGGCCTCAAAAGTATGTTCGATTCTACAGCTAGTGAAGACCCGGTCAAAGCTATTGGCGACAAAGCTACGAGAAATACGCATAAACAAGAATTTGTCATCAAAACAGATGGCTTTATAAGCAGTGATTTCATACATGGGTACGAAGTCATGCTTAGGACCAACCTTTGCGCCTGTGTAGAATTTCCAGCTATCCAAGTCACACTAACAAGAACGAACGAAACTCCTCTCTCTCGTACCGATCGATTCAGCACCCCATCATATGACTTGAAGCACTTTCATCGTGGACGTGCCGGATGAACAGGAATCTGGTATTTTTTCGCCAACTTCTATACCCAACTCAATAACTGTCACGTGATTTCACTGGGACACATATTACTAAAAAGTTGTCATGAACTGATGCGTGAAATGACGAAAATTTCAGCTTCTTTAATCTAATAAGGAGCATAAAAACAAAACTAATGCGTTCACCTCGCGGAATTAGCCATAGTACAGACACCGTTGAAAAATTACATGAAAAACTAAATTCCTCGTGTCGGTATCGTCCACAATAAAGTGTAAAAATAAAAAAGTGTAAATAAAAAAGTGTAAAAAAATAAAGTGTAAAAAGCTATAAGGAAATCGAGACCACTTCAGCGTGCAAGGGTGCGCAGCGTCTATAAGGAAATCGAGACCACTTCAGCGTGTAAGGGTGTGTACTGCCTATCTAGGAGGTCACAGATTGTCTACTGATATTTATCCAGCAATCCTGCCTTTGATTTTTTTTAAAATAAATCACTATACTCAATGTGGAAATAACTTTTCCATTCAACTCGGATCTCTAAGTCATTGTTAAAAATCATTCATTACTTGATTAATAATTATCATAAGGCGTGGATCATTGAAGATATTGCAGCGGGCTACCGACTTCACTGAGTGCCACAGGGTCTAGTCAACGTTTTACGGTGTGATCTGACCAGCTGGTACCTCAGTTTTGTTGCTGAAGTCGGGCACCACAGGTTTACATGTGGTCAAGATAACTAACTACGAAAGTGACAGTTGACACTCAGACGTTCGGTTTTTCTTACTGGTTCCAATACCATCCAAGAATGGCCTGAGTTCCATGACAGGAGTGAGTCAAGTGTCGTCTGCAGTTGAATACAGATACAGTAAATGGTCTCGTATTTACCAGTTTTTGTTGCTACACTTTTGGAATTAGGAGCGAATTTTTTGCCCACTATCTGTTACCGCTCCTCCTATCCGGCAGACAAAAACCTGCTAACCCATTTCCCGGAAATCTTCGTTCCTTCACTGGAATGAGCCTGGATACTGTTGTCAGTCATATTACCACTATCTGTTCAGGAATTATGCGAAGCAATTGGTTCAGTGGTTTTTGTTACGGTGTTGGCCAAACGGTCAAACTTGGAAACCGCTCTAATTGGCAGATGAGTCATCCTTTAGGAAACCATTGGAAAATAGTCTATAAATCTATTACTTAGAAACTGAGACTCTTAGCCTATGGGTCAAATATCATCCAGCATAGTTGTGTGAATGGAACGGAGCCCGCGCAGCGACTTTAGATATGTGGCGTTGACACGCGATGCGCGGTTAACAGTCAGAAATAGCCGTTGACAGAAGTGGCTAAGATCTATAGTGGAATGTCCAGAAAAAGGAAGCCCCCGAGAACAGTTTTACGTTACTCGTTTGCTTAACCCGATTGTGGTGACAGTCACAGCTATCAAGGAAAATTGCAAAGCCTAAACATGCGGCCTTTAAATCTGCCCATGCACACCAACAAAGGACGACTGATACCTTGTTGGCCTGCTAGTTTAGAGAGATCTTTTTGCTTCGTTCTTCTATTGTAAGACTCGAGCAACCCTATGGCAAGGTCGCCTAGCTTGATAAAGCTTTCACCTCAAAGCTGAAACAGTATCCGTTATCCAATTTGCTTAGTGTTCCAACCTCATCACGAACCTGTGCCCCCCACATTTGTCCGAACACATGTACAAAAGCAGTCATAGTAAATGCGTGTGCAAAGGAGGTCCATATGTGTGATACCGGAGGTTACTCGCCTACAAAACACCAGGAAGCCGCTCTTTTTGGCGGACAATACATGGGTAGACACAAATCCTTGTCGCGTCACTTCCAGCCAGGGTGCATTTACTACCCTGTCGAAGCGTGTCTGTGTAACAAACAATAAATCAAATAGCCCTAACGGGCGACCGCTAGTGGAATCCGTCATCTTCATGTCAATATGTCGCAAGTTTGAAATCCACAAGGTTTGGGCACACATATAGACCTGGTTCATCAAGTAAAATCGTAGAGAGTCATTTGAGTCCACTTCATTGGTTGGATTGATCGAAAACAGTCATATTAATAATTCCAACAGGCGATATCATAGTCCATTGCCACTGCATGCACGCCTTGCTACGTTTTAGGTCGTCGTTCGGCTGAATTTCCAGCAACGGTAAGATCTTCAAGCCATTAGAACAGGGCCACGCTAATTCCCCTAAAAAAAGATGATAGAAAACACCTTATCTGAAAGATATCAAGTCACCTATTGCATCTTCAA